TTTATGTGCAATGCAAGACAGGCGATGCGGATTGGAAACCTAGTGCTTCAGCCCCACCTTGTTCTTTATGAGATGCCTTTGGTCTGATTGCATGCCAACAATATTTCTTCGGTGTTATGTCCTGGTATTCAACAGTGAGCTTCGCGCCGCATAATTCATAGATGGGACATGGATAAGCCATCTATACACTCTGCGTATATTTGATATCTTATGACACTGACAAGCTTGAGCTGATGTGGGCTATACTTCACAGCAACATGTATTTCAGAAAGATTTATTTTTAAGCAAGGGCCCAATTTTCTGTGGGCTTTTTCTTTGTTTCTTTTCAATGGAAACGAGAGATTTCATTTGCTAGGTTGCATGATAGGTTTAAAATGACTGAATAGGCCTTGAAATCTTTTGTATTTGTCTGATTCTATCGGTATATCTTTGGGAACGCTTAAATCTTTTACAAAGCGGTATTGGCAGAAACAGCATTTTAAATACGCATAATTTATCTGAAGTTAAAGACCGAAGCAATCAAGCAAACCGGATAGTAATCCACAGGCAACTAGCAGCACACAAATAATATCCGCTTATGCGAAGAAGTATTAAATACCCATTAGTCATCACGTTATATAAAGATTTGGCTAAATAAACTAACGCCGAAACATCGAAAATTCCCAATAAAGGCAGGTGAAGTACACGTCCAAAAGGAAGAAAACGGTCCGTTAAACGCTTAAAAAAAGTTAGCTTTTATGTGCGTGCTCTACGGAACACTCGACGTGTCGATCACGAGAAGAGCAAATAAGCTTAAGTCCCAGACTCAAGTTCACAGCTCCAAACATAGCCCACTTCTGTCAGCAGACATCAGATGCGTCCCTGACTTTGTCTTTTTACATATAGTTTAAGTCGATGTGCCTGCAATCAATTTGCTTTACTAACATTATCTGCGTTCAGCTTCGTTTAGCGCAAATATGGTTTTATAGATGGCATAGCTACCAATCATTTTCATGATCTTTAGCCCATCTTGAAGAGTTTGCGAAAACTTTGAACGTATGTGTAGCTGGCGCTTTTGAATTTATTTTTCGTTTTCTCCAACTTGTTTGTGTTTTTTTTTATTTTGATTAGTTGTGGTTTGACTTTGCCTTTTGGTTAATAATAGTTGCCTTCGTCGTGTTTGTGTTGCCAATTAGACATCTTGATTAAAAGCTGTTAATAAAGCTTTGTCGTATCGAGCGCGACCGCACGCAGACTCAACTGCTTCAGCACACGCAGCCCCTGCAATTTATTAGGTTAATGTCTTAAGTGTAGAGCTCTTCCTCCACAGTGGAATGCATTATCGTGCTCAATATATTGCCGCACTTAAACTAGGTTGTCCTGCTTCTCGTAGGATTCGTAGGCTTTTAGGACTGCGCCCTTGTAAGGTATGCTTTTCTGGAAATCCTACAAAAAAACTACACACTCTTAATTGCCCCGCCTAAAAGCATTTTCTGATTTTTACTAACTTTTGACCGTAAAGTCCGTATGCTTCCAGTTAAGCATATAACACATCCCAACCTTCAATTGGGTTAAACAAAAATCCCGACGTCTTTGGAGCCCCTTCAGTGTCACGGCCAACGAAAACAGGCTATCTTGTAATAGCTAACCAGTCACAAGACAGGCCGCCGCTAGACGTAAGATGCCTCTTTGGCGCTCCGCCTGTTTTCGCTTTTCAATATTCGTTCGTTTTCCAACGTTTTCCTGGCAGTGCCTTATTGTTGTTGGGATATGTAAGTGCGGTGATGCTGGTCTTACTGGTTACTTTTACCTGCCAAACGTGTGCCATCGGTTCAAGTTCAACGACAGGGTGGACAAGGTGCGGTTGTTGCTCTACGCTATCGCCGTGTTGACAATACTCGTATCTTAAGCTTAACCATTTCCCTGCTGGCTGAGGAGTTGGGAAATGCCTGCAGCAGCATTGACGTTTCGGGATTCCCCCGCCTTTCCCCCTTTCCGTGTATTTATGTCTGCCTAAAAACAAGTCAAGTGGTGCTGACTGAGCATCACTTTGGAATTTGATTTGATGTAAATGATCTGCCGTCGTCTTTCATTTTCATGTTTACTCTTTGGCAGCGATGAGCAAAAGGTGAAGGTCGTCTCTGGCCGTTAGCAAAGGCATTTTGTGCTGACTTGCAACTATTTTTGTCTGTCGTTTGAGTCCAAGCTCGACGCTTAAGTCATCATGGCTCGGTTTTGCATCAGTTAACCATACTTGGCAAGTTGTGGTGATGCTTTTTGGTCTGATTACCTTTTTGATTCTCTCATCTGGTCGGTTTAATAAATTTAGTTTTTGTAAGGCAAGGCAGTTCACACCCAGCAGCACTAACGGCAGCACAATCACTGACAAGCCAAGTGCTCCTCTCATTACCATATTCAGCAATTTAAGTAGAAGGCCCAACCTTGGCATCGTTTTGGCGTACAAAAAGAACGAAGTCTCATGCCCGGAGAAAAAAATAAACAGAAACGAGAACAATCCACAATGAATACATGTTCAGAAATCAGAACTTTACAATCACGACCTGCATGAGGCTGTTGTTACCACTTACCGACTCGAACACATGTTATTAATTTGACGCGCAGGGGTGCGTGCAGCAAAGGTGAGCTGGCTAAGACAAATGTAATGCTGTTGAAAAAGCTGATGGCATTAAGACAAAAGACAAGTTTGTTGCCTCAGTCTTTTGTTTTGTCTGCGAGTACTCAGGGGAATTCTTCTACGCGACTGCAGCTGGCTACAGTCTGTAAGTGAACGACATTGTGGGGACCTGGCTTTAATTGGTTCACATTATTTATAAGCAAGCAGCCAGATCTAATGAGTTCCGCAAGGTAGACACTCCCTCAAGCTACTTGCTTAAGCTTCTCTTGGGAACAGAAAAGCTCAGTTGTGACTGAGTGCACGGATATACAACCAATTGCCTATGGCCGACCCAAACCGAACTGTTACACTTAATTCAACAAATTAGTTTGCCAAAATGGAATCGAAATGCACACGAAGCGGCGGGCTTTAGTGTTGCTCAACTGCTAAGCAAGATGCCGACTCAAATGGTAGCTCCATGGCGACTGTGGGCGTTCACTCGATTTCAAAGTTCTTTTGGAGCACAGGATTGGCGACTGGAAATGAAATAATTATCAAACCACTTTTTACAATTGCCATTATATCAACCTTTCAGTTTCGTTTAACGGCTGGGATTGGCATTCATGCGAACCGTTAAGGTTTGGGCGGCTTTAAGTTTTTAGTTTTTAGTGTTTAGTGAGTCACAGCTCCCTGATACCAATCTCTTTTAACTGCCCATTGAAATATTACTTAAAGGAATTCGGTCGTTGTTTTGTCTTTGGCGCCTTACTAGATATAAACAGTTGAACTTTAACTGAATAACTAAGAGGCGGAACTTTTAAAATCGTCGTTTTTTTTATTTTTTTACATTTTTAGAAGAAATTAATCAATATATAAATTGCATTGGTCATACAATGATACAACTTTAAGAGCCACTCAAATTAACGGTGTTAAAGTTTCAATCATAACATTCGAGGACAGACTAATAAATAAAACAAGAGCTAATTAAACTGGGTATAAGACCAAACCAAGTTGCTGGACCCAATTGGATTCAGATCCATTTGCTTTTATTAGCCTCTTATAATTGTTTTCGCCATTGATTTTTTCTGCTGTAATTGTTTGGTTTGTCTAATAAGGCGCATTGTTGCTGTCTTGTTCGGCTTAGCTTAGATTTACCGCCGACGTAGGCTGCCTTTGAAACAATAATGGTTATAGCTTCTTAGTTGCATATTGACGGCGGTGGCGTTCTCTTGCGCAACTGGCAGAGCCGAAGCCGACGCCTTTTATAGACCGCAGCTGTTGGCAGCCACGCCAAGGCGTCGAGTGACCCTGAATTGTTTTTGATACGACTTTTGAAAGGAACCGTGAAAGCCGTTGGTACAAAGTGAGTTCAATCATAAACCACTGGCAGTCAAGCAAAGAAAAAATGTCGATTGTATTTTCGGTTCTGGCTTTAAATAATTTGAACTCAAAGGTATCGAATGCACAGAATCTGAACGTTTTGGCTTAATTATGTCGCGACCAAATTGGGACAGGGATCATTAAGATACTGTACCCCAAAACATGCAAGTCAGGCGAATTACAGCTCGGTTGTTATAGCACAAGCTTAAAACTATTTTGCATATTGTTTTGCTCCGAGCTCGAACCGATCCTAGCTTTTGGGGCACACCCAAAATGTGCCATGGACCAGACCGAGCAGACAGTCCAGTCGTGAGGCCGACACGCCGCTCACTTTTGGATTCTAATGCCAAGTCGCCAGCTTACGAGCACTGCCTTTGCCTTTTTGTTTATGGCATAAGCTGTTGATGCCGTTAGCAGGCGCCCACAACAATTACATTTACGACGAGAAGGTAAAGTGGGTTGGCTCTAACTTGGCTGCTCCATATTATTTCCAACGTATTTCAAAAAGCACAATAAATAATTTGTAGTGGAAATGTCACAGAAAATAGACCAAAACTTTTACGGTACAGGATTTCTTTAATACGGCCAGATAAAACTAGGACTTAAGCCTATGGCCAAAAAACGCTCGACAATACACAAAACCCAGAAGAAAAGGTTCATTTTCTGTTCCTATTGCCAACTTCGTGTACATAAGTTTGGCCACAATATGTAGAGATTTTATCAGTTCTAAACTCAAATTGAATCTTTCAGTAACTTTATAGGTAATTTGGCTGTCCACACGTGTGTTAAACTTTATAAATTTTTATACTTTACTTTATAAAACGATTGTAACTATTACTTTTCGACAACAGAGCGACTTGGCTCCACGTATCGAGTATGGGCTGGGCTGGACTGAGCTGGGCGGATTCGTTTGTTTTCAAAGCCCGAGCCAGAGGCCTTGTGGCCTTTTGGCATTTTATATGTTTTGGCATTGAGTATATGTTTATATAGACTAAGAGGATAGAGAAAAATTAAAAGCTTGACTTACCCCGACTTTCTGACTTTCACATTGCACTCCTTATCATTTTTTTATATGTGTCTACCAAAATAGTTCAACATTGTCCAGTGTAAGGCGCTATTCTGCAATAAACAGTTGTGTTAGTTTTAACAAAAGTTTAAAACTACCTCAAGAATTAATAATTTAATTATTGTATTTTTTGGTCAGTTCCAAAAAAAAATGTATGTTGTTTCCATAAAACTTTTATAAGTTCATTCATCTATAAAGCTAGATTTCGAGACGTTTGATGTTAATTGTATAAATAAAAATCGCAATGGTTTAAAGCTCAAAAATCGATTTAAAGATTTTCGCTCGATCAAAAAACACACTCGGAGTTTTTACAGCGTTAAGTGGTGGCGACATTTGACTCGCCAGCCTTCCCCATGAGAAAAAGAGCTGGAACCTTGACGAGCTAGCTCTTTTGCCTGGTCTCCCATTAAATGACTGCCCTGTACGCCCTAGACTGGCCCAGAGCCCAGAGTTCACAGCTTCAAACTTTGGGCTGCGGCCCGACGTTCGCTGCCGTGCGAAAATTTAAATTTCAAATGAATCTTTGCCCGATTACACATACCCTGGAACTGCTGCTCGGGAATGTTAATTACAAGCTGCGTTTTAATATCGTGCAGTAGGTGTAATGCAAACGGCAACATCGGCAGTTAAAGTAAGAGCCACATCAACTGCCCTGGCCCCGTTATGATACTTGCCTCTTAGCTTACATCATAGGCATCGAATCGCAACGCAGCCATCGATTTATGCCTGGCTCTTGACTGCATTTATTGTAATTCCAAAGCCTTAAACGTGCTGGGAGCTTTTTCCTACTGCAGGCTCACCGCCGAATGCACCGGCCTAGCCAACGACTTTACCCACGCATACGCAGCAGCAGCTCAGCTCAGTCCCGTCTTGGAGCAGTCAGTTAAGTGTAGCAGCAGTCACGACCAAGTCTCCCAGTGGGTCGCAGACACATGTGGCTTTTCAATAGCCCAATTTTCACTATTCATCTCGGGGTGAAAACGGACTGGCAAATCTTTAGCAGTGGGATTTCCAGTGCCCCAGCAGATGTGCGCAAAATTGTATTATTTATTGGGATTGTGATTGCGACAATTGAGCGCCATTTTTTTTAATGCGGAAGACTTTAATTTGCAGTACCTATCTGTAAGTCGATGCGATTATTTTCTTTACTTAAAAATTACGCATACGAAACCGTGCCGGGCATATTTGCCTGACTGCGGGCTGAATATGTGGATGGAGAAGAGTTCGAAAATGATCTCACGCGAATCAAAGCTAAGTGTCAGTAGTGGGTGAAGTCCGGGTGCATGTGAATGTAGCTCCATCTGAATTCAAAAGCTTATGCCAGCAAGACAACTTCCTGCTATTAAGCTTGTATGCCCAATTCATTTCGGAGCTACTTACAAATATGATATTCTGTATGAGATATTATTCAAGCCGTTCAGTGTGACCACTCCCAAGACCCGGCTACCAAAGAGCGATTGGGTGCCAAAACCATCACGGTAATGGCACCATGACAAGCCATAAAACTGCAGCGCACGGAGACACAACGTGTAATGCGGTACCAAACCGCAAGAGCGACTACCGATGTGAAATTCGAAATGCAGTGGCGTCGTCCTCTCATTTTGATTGTCAGAAAACCAAAAATGCATATTAGCTAATTATTTGTGCTATTCCAAGCGCTTGTGAAAAGCGGAAGCGCCATATAGGCAAACAATGAGCGGAACTTGGTGCCCCAGCTGGAAAGTTCAAGCAAGGTCAAAAAAGGTACAACCTGTCAAAGCGCTTCAGTCTAAATATTTGTCTAATATTATCAGATAACGCATATTAATCGTAAAATCTCTTTTAGCATAAACTGGCTGTGGTGGCCTTCGACTCGCAGTCTTAATATGTGAGGGTTGTTATTATGGAAAGTACTTGAATTTTGTCTAGTAGTGGCAAAAACAAGTATGGGAATGTAAAACAGAAGGCACGTAAAAAGTGTACGACTGCCTGGCAACAATGATTTCCGGCACTACCAAGTTGTTGCGCCGTGGACGACCAGTCTCGTGCTGGAACTGGAGGCCTGGCCCGGTCTGGTCTGGTCATTGTTGCAGCGTGCTGTTGCTCTGGTGCTTATCAAACTCATTTAAATGAAAAGAGAAAGGAAAATGTTTATTGCCACTACGCTCTTATGAATGCCTGTCTATGTCAGTCACAAATTTGTCGCTGTTTGTCCATCACAACTGCCTTCTACTAGATCATGTAAAGCTTCCTAAAAGTTAGCTCGATCAATTTAATTTTATATTAAGTGATTGCACAGCGATTTAAAAGGACTTAAAAAGACCAATCCATTTTTGAGCCATCTTCAGCCTTGAACAGCGGCTTTAATAAGAAATATGTGTTTATAAATGTACCCTTGCTTTGAATAATAAAATTGTATTTTTAAATAACATACTTCAGTGTGGAAACCTTCTTAAATTTTGTTTACACGATCCGCTTGTTAGCAGAAACATTATGCGGCGTCGCCGCAGAAAACGAGAGCCCATCCGACAAAAAGCAGTACCTTGACCTGTGGAGATGAAGACTCTGGTGGGGCGTTTTCCTTTCAATTTAAACTGAACGGTAAACAACAATCGGCGGGGCGAACCGCAATTCGCTGAACCATACATTTTTTACTGTACGTAAATTTTGGCTTTTGGCCATCCGCACGATGTAAGTGCTTCCTTCGTGTTGACTACTTCTCTCTGTTTGATGTTTCGCCAACTTTATGGTTTGGTGCCTTTGCAATTTGTTACAGCCATCGCCCACTCCTTCGTTTCTTTCTTGTTTTCATTTGTTGGAGGCGCGGGCTAGACCATGACCTTCACAGGCACGGATTGGAGGCGGGATTGGGTCCTAGCGCTAGTCAAGATGCGCCGCGGTCAAGGTAAACACCGAATCGGCATTTTTTGAGAATTTTGCAGAGCTCGGGTAGGCGTACACGCCGTCCCGCAGAAGTTGAAAATCCGTTGAAATACAGAGCGTCAACCATGTCTGTGAAGAAAACAAACTGCCGTCATGTACCGCACAACGCAACGGAACAATGCAATCCCATCGGATCGCCCTCACAGCGTTTTACAACATCAAAATCAGTCTCGTATTTGTGGAGCAAATCACGCCTTGCAGTTGCGGTCTCGCTAAGCGAGTTTTCATTCCCATTCCCAATCTCAGTCCGAGGTAGCACCCAAGACACGCTCTACCTAGACTGCAGATTGTCACCGCAAGGTCTATTGGCCAAGTCCCCGTCTCCGATTTCGGATTCGACTTCGGTTAGTTTGCTAGTATGAAGCACACTCTACTATTGCTGCCTTATTGCCAATGCGACACACGAACCACGGACATTGCCCAGCACATAAATCGAGTGGTTGCAGTTGCAGCAAGCGAAAGTGATCGATTTTGAAGTAGGCGTGGCTCGGAGCGCGCCTTGCGCCACAATGTGGCGTAGTCGCTGTCGTTGCTGTCGCGTGGACTAGTTGTTGCCACTAGCAATAAGATCTCAGATACTAACACACAGTGGAGTTAGCATGAATGGCGCGGTGGCGAGTGCCGTGTTGTGTGTCTGATGGTTATGCAACATTCTCGGTTTGACCCACTTTCGCGTCGATTTCTTGAGCTTTTTTGTCGCCAATGCTGGCTGGCATTCACTTTCGGGCAACTCAAATGCAAATGAAACTATGGCTAGGAATGTGGTCGAGTTAGATATCCCTAGAACAGCCCACAATTGCTTCGATTGAGGAGTAGAGGGGGTCTTGCATGCTCTGTGGGCTCCCTCTGGACTTCAGAGCAGACCATATGGAACCGAACAGCACCAGACATCGGGAACAGCAACCATATTTTGAAAATTATTTGAAAGTTTGCTGCCAATTAACATTTTGAAAAGTTGCCTCGTTGATAAAATCGTGTGCCACAAGTGTCATATTGCCAGTCATAACGAGTGCATAGACTGGCCAGCCTGTTTCGCTCACTTTAAGCTTCGCTGCGTGCCCCGAAAGTCAAGTTGTTTGCGTGTATGCCCGTTGACATGGTACAGGTGGCTGTCCCATATGACTAAGCTAATCAAACAAAGCAGCTTAACAACAGTCAGTTGAATATGGCTCGGACCGGTCAACCTTTAAATTTTCTTTAATTTAACCTTAAGAATTGCATATTCCAAATTAATGTAACTTAGTTACCGAACAACACGTTGGCTAACAGAGCAAGGAGTTCAAGCTAAACACACAGTGCCAGCCTTTACTACATGGACGTAATGATTAAATTGAACTGGCCAACTTTATATATATATATATATAACACCACCGATAAAGCCGCTTGCTTGGCCAGCAAATTGGAGCATTCTCCCCAAAAAATAGTTGGGGGAAAATCAAACCACTGCAGAGCCGCAGTCGAAAGTACATTGTCGATTGTACCAGTATGTGTGGCAACATAAAGCCAGTCGATAGGCTAGTTGCATAATAGCCGAAAAGCGCTTCAGGCCGGAGCTCCACTTAGTATTTGAATGTGGCCCATAGCTACGAAAAGGAAAGCAACCGGGCAAGAGGCATGAGGCAAAAGTAAGTGCTGCATATTTCCTGTTTTGTGGCACTCTCGAAAATAGTTACACTGCTGCCGAATGGTGCTCATGGCGATTATTTCATTTTTATTTCTAGCTATCTGACTACCCAGTCCCCTAAATCTGTCATGCTGCTGAATGCCGAAATCGAAATTGGTTAATTCCGATGGAATGGAAAGATGCGGTCTGCCTGATGAGCGATGGTTTCATCCCGAAATATTAAGATTTAAAGTCATTAAGTTGTAAGCTTCCTTGGCTTTCTGTGTCGGATTGTATGTATGATCAGGATAGCGACTGTATAAATCGTCGAAGATATTTATAGACCTTTCACCGATGAAAGCAGGGTTAATTTATGTTTCTTGGGCCTTGATCGTGAACACGTAACCTAATGGCTCACTACTTATATATTTATGTAGTGCAATAAGAATGTAAGCAAGGTACCCAACGCTTAACCAGCCTAACATTTGCCTGAGCCCAAGTTAAAACAAACTCGGTAAATCGGTTCATGTGCACATTTCTGTAGTCTCTGTGAGTCCCCCACAGTCTACTGGCAGGAAGTGCAGCGGAGGCTTTTCCATTAGAAAGGAAAAGCCCGTTTGAAATCGATAGTGAATTCTCTGCTGCTGTGTGCAAACTGCTTCCTGTGCGTATGCATGCAAAGCGAATGCTTGTGTTTGTGGTCAGCTCGGCTACGTTTCGTAGTGGGAGAAATGTCGGAATGCAACAAACAATTGGGTCGGTCGCCTTTGCCATCGCTGCCTAGCGTTACGCCCCTTCCATTGATTTGTGCAGTCGATTGAAAATGAAACAAATGAAAGCCCACCGGTCCGCCGGGCAGTCAATGATTAATATTTCCGTCTTGCGGGTGAGCTGAGCGTGCGTTTAATTGTGGACCGCACCCAGCGAATCGAATGACTTAGGCAACAAACTGGCCGGGTGCTCTCTGTTGGCCAGCTAAGTTTAATTAAAAGTTCAAACGCGAAACACGCGAAAAAGAAATTGAGCTATCAATTGAGGTAGTCAGGCAGCGACTTTTTAATTGTGCATAGAAGAAGACAGTTTTCGAGTTAGACAACTTTCATGCTGGCTTAAAATAGGGAAATAATCCAGCAACTTGCCAGTTTGGCAAAAAGAAAAGGTACTCTTTTGGGGTATTCCAAACCTATTAGAAGGAGACGCTCATGTTAAGTTACGTAATATTAAGACCCCAGTCCTAACAACCCCTTTTTACCTACTACCATGTGGTCAAATAGCTCATTATGGTCGACATAAATCAGATCTCGAGGCTGCATCCGACGCTGCCAAACGAGGTGGCAATTAGTGCAATGGATCGCGCCATTTGTCTAAATTTGGCCATGCTATTGGCGGTTGCCAATTTTATGGCCTCAAATAAGTCGGAGGCAGTGTTGAAATGCCGCCTAGCCAAGCCAACTTACGGCTTAACTGCTTTTGGGACCAGTAGCAGTGATACATCGTAGACGCACCCTGTGTATCATCACCCATCTTTAAAAGTGGAGGCAACTGCTCAGTAAGACATTAAACAAATGGTGCTTTACATAAATTAACGCCTTGCGCACGGAAACGCTTAATCAATGCAAACAACCGTGTGACACATGGTTTTTTTTCTGGGCTTAAACCGAAGCCTAGCATCGCCTCACACCACCTATAAATTACCTATAAATATTCAAAGTTTAGAGATACGACACTTTTATTGATTTTTAATGCTCAACATCTCTCAAGCCGCAACATTCAAATAAAATGATAATAAAATGCCTCACGCTGATCTTAAGCGAGTTGTTTAAGTCCGATGCTTATTTGCTTACAATGTTTACCGCAGCCGGCAGTTTGGCAAAGTGCCGTGAGTGCCATGTTTTATTGCCGCTTCCGACTGACATGAAAGTCAAGTTGCTCATCAAACCAAGTTTAATAGCTGAGAAGTTGTTGGTCGAGTGCACTTTGAGCACACCACACGAAAAGGCCAAGCTGCACAGCGGATCAGAATTATAAGACTTTTTATTGTTTTGCTTGCGGTATCGTAAGGGGCAAAGTGTCATCGACCAAGATTCCGCTTCAGCTCGAGGCATGGATATCAAGCACAAGTGCATTCCTAGATTTTAAACAAAGTATTGTTATTTACACTATCATAGGCCAACGAGTCGAGTAGTGAGAAACAAACCAAAGCAAACAACAACCGCCAAACAAAACCAATCAGACTTATGGTCGAATTACTGCGCGTTGCATAACAACAGAGCAGTAAAGCCAAGTCAAGCCTCAGTCCTTGCGTCGATTTTAACTTAAGCTTTAGCTCCGGCATCAGCCGAAGCGTTGTCGGCGCTTGTACCGTCAGAGCTTACATAGCCGTGTTGTTTAGTGGAGCAGAAAGTCCGATTGCATAGCACTGGCAGCGGCAGCGACACAAACGCAATAACAAGCAACGACCAGGCCAACAGCAAACAATCAGCAACGGGCCTGCCAAGTGTGGGCTGCCTAATACAAATGTCATCCAAGCTGATGGCAGGTCTAGGCTCTTGCATGGTCAATTGCCATTGGCACGTGATTGGCTTTCATTGTGCGCCTCCGCCGTATATCAGTCGCTTGACTCGGTCAATGAAGCACACTGTCGCGAATGTTCGCCATGGGCTACCGGCGGAGTCTCCGAAACTCGACGTTTTTGCGCGTAAATTGCACAAGATGTGGAGCGTGCCATCGCCGTTCCATGCGAACTAGATGCCCTCCCGGAGCCTTGACACTATTATGCGTATTGGATGAATCTTAATATTCTGTCTCCTACTTGCCATTCCATCTTGGAATTCCATACACGGCATTAACTTGGGGCTTGAGCTTAAATCTAGTTCCTTTCTCTTTTATTTTGCTACTACTCGATACCAGTGGGAGGCAATTGACCATGCGCTACGAATTAGCAATTCATCTACGCCCAATTATTATAATGCCTGCGTTATTTTGCGTTGTATATATTTACTGGAATATTGTTAATGTGAACGGAATAACAGGATTATACATAGGCTAAATACTGTGTTTTACTCGTTCTAAATATTTTCATTGTGTTAAAGAGCTCGAGGTGAAAGGCTTATTAGAAAAACGAGTAATTTCGGCCAAAAGTATGAAACACCAACTTGGAAAAAAAAGATACCAATTCAAAATACGTATACTATATAAAATCGTACCAGTGCGGTAAAGTTCACTTAACTTAACTGGTTTGTTCTATTATGCAATATCGTACGGGTCTTACTTGTCGTCAAGTAATAAAACAAAGAGATTTTGACAAAAATAGCCTTCTTTATTTGCAGCATTAAAAGTGCAATTATTTTGATTGTAAGAAATTGAATTCAAATTAAGCCAATTGTTCGACGTAATCTGTTTTATTTTTAGTTGGCCTTTGCTCACGATGACGAAGCCAAATTCATTCTGTCTTGAGCAGCGCACTTTGGGTGCAGTTACTTATCTGAAGCATAACCCGAGCTTATAACGGCACGATTTATAATTAAAACTTTTTGGCCAACAAATTGTCACAATTTTATGGCTGACTCACAGCAAATCGGGTTGTAAATATACAAAGGCTTCGGTCTTTACGCTTTTGGCTTTGGATGCTGGTGATGCAGATTGCAATAACGACCTTAAATTTACTGTATTATATTTTATTTTTATATTATACAATCACATGTACCGTTCTTTTATCGGATTCAAGGCCTGTGTTTCTCAATTAAAATTCCGGTATCGAGTGCCGAGAAGCCACAAATATTGCCATCAACTGGAGATCGTTTGTATTTAACAGTTTGAGGGGAATAAACTTTTAATGATCCGCTCCGACAGTACTAAAACTTGACCATAGTGATAAGCAAGAGATAGAGCTGTAGTCGAGTGCCTCGACTATCAGATACCCACTACTCAGCTAATCAACTTATAAATAAATATACCTTCAGTAGAGCAAAGAAAAAGTGAAGTTTTCATTGTTACCTACTTAAATGTTTGCATTTTACACATTTTACTTTAAACTAATGGCTATGACATCATTGACGATGTTCTGCTAGATACTGTCATAACTAGTGGTCCGATCCTAACAATTTTCGGCTTTACGATAGGTATTGACATCGGAATAAAAAAAAGTATTTAAAATTTGTATCTTTAACAACAGCAAACGCTATAGTCGATGGCCTCGACTATCAGATTCCCGTTACTCAGATAACAAAAAACGCCACCTATCGTTCATTCCTATCGGCTGTTTACGAGTGGGTTAGTGAAGTTTCGTAAGAAACAGATTAAAAATCTGTTGTTAAGTTGTCCTAATATCAGTTCGCTATCATCGCAACATTAAAAATGTTACAAGCTACTGTAGGACTGGGGAATTTAGTATTAGTGTATAACCCTTGCAGCGTAAGAGTAACAGCGACATCAACGGTTTAGGCCCTGTTCCTTATTTTGAACTCCTACAGTCCGTTTATTATTTTGTTATCCAACACTATTAATCGAGTACACTAAAGAATATCGAGTCCATAAAAGAACATCGAGTCTTTCTTAGAAAGCATGGAGTAGGAAATAGCGACGCTACCAAGAGGGAGAGTGCAGCAAGTCGTAAAGTGAAGAAGTCGTCCAGTGCGTGGTTCCCCGAAGAAGTCGGTTTTAAAGACATACATATACGTTACATCAAGAAACAATTCGTTCATTAAAGTTTTAAGTAACATTCTATAACTATTCCCAAAATAAACTAAATTTGTATTATCCCACAATACCAATCTGCTGATGCTGTCAATAGCTAACAGAAATATCCGTATACCGTTTTTCTTTCCAGGATCCACAGAGGCACAGAGCAAACGAGCCTCACGAGTCACCAGTTCCCGTAGCTTTGGCACGAACGTCAAGCCCACAAGCTCCAATGGCATTAGCTTCGACTGCCCCGAGGAGTTCGGATACTACCCGCACCCCTCGGACTGCACCCAATACTACGTGTGCGTCTTCGGAGGAGCGTTGCTCGAGAGCTGCACTGGCGGCCTCATGTACTCGCACGAGCTGCAGACCTGCGATTGGCCCCGGAACGTGGGCTGCGAGTTGGTGGACACTTCATCGGAGCGCGGTCCCGCACGTAGCCAGGGCCAGAGCCAAACGCACACCCAGGCGCAGCATGTTCCCAGTAGAGTGCGCTTTGGAGCCGCTTTCAGCAGCCCTGGCGGCACTCAGAAGGCGCCCACTGTGGCCCCACAGTACCACCGCTCTCCGCCACAGGTCATCCAGGCGCAGGTGCAACACATACCTCCTCCGCCACCGGAGCTGCGAGTGCCACCCAACCCGGTGATCACGTCGCGGGGTCAACCAAAACCACTGATCGAGTCCCAGGAGGACATTGCGAAGGTAAGTTTGGGACAGACTTCAAACTTGACTTAGGAACGTACAATTGAAATAGTTGATCATCCGAGCTTCTATCGATATCTTCTGATCAAGAATATATATATATATATATTTATACAGGGTCGTATCAATCAGCCATATAAATAGTAAGCTCAATTTTTGCAGCAAACAGTCGAATACAAGACTAATTTTACCCCAGTCCATGGCACTTTCGAACAAAGCAAATATCCAAAAATATCATCTTTCATTTAGCTGTATGCCGAAGCGCAAGAGACTTTGCCGCCTGTAGAAGAAGAGGAGTCCGATCGTCAGCAGAGAGTGTACCGCGGCCAACCTAGTACCGTCAGTCAAGTGCAGCGCGACCGCGATGGTATTATTCACCAGGCCAGTATCAATGCCATTCCTCAATCTGGCAAAATCGCATCGTACGCTTTTGGAACGGCCTACAGGTAAGCTGTCATCACCTCTTCAAGTAGCTCAGTTATCATCTATCGACGCTTTTTAATTGATGCCACTACTTTACTGATGCTAAATCATTTCAAAATTCTATGCAACTCATCGTATTACATGCTCTTTTCTCTCATACAACGCATACTGCACTATCCTTTTATCTTGCTCCAACCGACACCGACATATCTACCCTTCGACCTCATAAAAAACTGTACACGAACAGCGAAAGCTTGGACGACGACAAAAACGAACTGTCCCATAACCGACTCGATGGAGGTAGGCGACGCAAACGTCGCGATCTTACCGTGCAACTCACGGAAATTGCGCTCACAAAGCCTGCAGGAATAGGTAATTTTAACGACTCTAATAGTTCGAGCGAAGTGATGGATCCCGATACCACTAGCGCACTTCCAGATAGTAGTGAAATCTCAAATAGCTCAAACAATTCAAAAGAACGCTTCGAAGAGGCCGCTCCGGCTGTTAAGCTACGTAAATACTCTTCAAAGATCAGTCAACCTAAAGGCGAAACCGCCATGGAGTTCGACTACGAGCAGATTGCTAATGAAGACGGGGAGTTGTTGGACGAAGGTGAAGGCGAGGATGATGTAGCCACGGGGGAGTCAAAGAGACGACCCCGTCAACTGCGACCCATTTCACATACCTCTTCCAAATGGCCGGGACAAAATTACCGTGCTATCGACGCACCCCCTCCCCCACAGTACTCGCAGCAAACAGGATACAGCTTTGGAACTTACAATCCGTATCTCACGCCTCCCAACCCTGCCAATACACAACCGTTATACGGCAACCACAATTACAATCAGTTAACTCCTGGCTACCAATCCTACCTGCACCAGCAACAGCAAGTTGCTCCCGCTGGTCCACACCCCCAGCAAAAGCCTAAAGTGGTGTACACTGGCTACAATCTATCGTTGCCTCCGCCGCCGCTGGAGGACGATTTTCGGCCAATTTCTGGCAGCTACTACGGTGCGGCCGGCACAGGCCCAAGCAGTCCGCGGCCCCACAATATCCAGCAGCAGCACTCAAACGCGGGTGACCTTCTCCCCTACCTTATACAACAGCTGAAGGAGCTAAAAGAGCGGCGCAAGAATCTGCAGGCGGAAAACTTTGCCTACTTCCATCTGGACAATCAGCCGGTAAGCCCGGCCTCCGTTTCAGGAGCCACTTCCGTGCCCACAGCCAGCACCGCCCACTATTCCTCAGTTGATCCGTCAAGGCCCGCACAACAGGTTACTCCAAATGGTCAGTACAGCACCATGGGCGGATTCTATAACAACCAGAAACCGGACCAGGCCCCCTACACTGTTAACTATCCCGGCAAGTTGGTCTCCCACTACAGCATTGGTTCTGATGATGGACAGCGCAGCACGACGGAGAGCAACTACTTTCAGTATAACATCGTAGCCAACCAGAAGATGAAGGGTGTCCTTAGCACCGCCAAGCCTAGCCAGCTCGGGCTCGCTGCCTTCAAAGTTAGGCCTCCCGTTACGCCGCTGCAGGTGACTCAGAGCATTAATGTAGTATCACCCCCAAATCTGGCGTACAACAGACCCAATAGTCTGCAGCAGGTTCCGTTTCGTGACTTCTCGCACCTTCCCGTAGGAATTAGTTACGCCACCAACAGCACTATGCCAGAATCCTACCAGACCTTCACCAAGTCAATCAGCACCACAGAGGCGCCGCAGGGCGATCTTCCCAATAGCAAGTCGAAGCTGACCAACTTTCAGTTCAACATCCATGAGTTTATGGCTAACCTTAAGGCCAGCGATCTGTCTAGTGTCAACCCGGCCGTAAATCCGTTGATAAAATACTTCAAGCAAGTCAGTAGCGACGGAAATAGAAATAGCACCTTGCGCAATACGCTGGTGCCTCGACGTCCTGTACCAGGAAGTACAAGTTCAGCTAGCACCACAACCTCGACCACCCAGACTCCGACCACGCCAAGTTCTTTGGCGTCCAAAACTCGCTTCAGAGCCAAGTCGACAGTGCCTACGCCTACCACACCAACCACAACGAGGGCTCTGAAGGGGTACGAAAATTTCATCAAGGGCATACAGAACCAACTCAACAAGCAGACCTCTAGCCAAATTCCCGCCTCCAGCACTTCCCCAAGCACTCTGCGAGTGCCGACCACCACGACTCTCGAAACCGTCGACTATTATGACGAAGATTACGAAGAGGATGAGGACATACTGCCTCCGTCTCAAATGCCTCCTTATATGCCCATGTCCGAGACCATGGCCCCTCCCCGCCCCCAACTGCCTACAGCGGCACCCTTCACCGAGTCTCCAGGAAAAGCGAGACCAAACTTCCAGACAGGATTCCTGGAGGCTACGACTACACGCCGTCCGTTTCCTAACTTCTCGCAGCTAAACCAACCAGGTGCCGAGGCCGGCGTGCCTTCCTTTATTAGCTTTCCCAGCGATATTTTCCAAGAGCTGAAGCAGCGGTTGCCTCATCTTCCCGAAACCAGCACCCCACAAATCAGTACCAAGGTAACCACGACTCCACGCAGCATGCGTCCGTCTTCCAATCCGAGGCCAATCCCCTCCAGTACGGCGCCGACAACGACTCGAGTGCGTTACACAGTGCGGCCGCATAAGCGAGGACAACAGAAGTGGATGACGATGTCACCGGTCCAGGGACAAAAGGATGTAAAGAACCTTACCGAGAATGAACCCGAAATCTTAGGCTCTAGCAAGCAGAGTAACCTGGGCGGCCTGCAACTAAATTCCATACATGTGGGCTCAGGCGAAGAACGACACAGGTAGCTATATGAGCCGGGACAAATCCCTGATAGATGATTTACATTGTGCCGCTACACAGATACACAAGACAATAATGAATACAAGAAAACAAGGGTTCTATGTACATAAACCATATACTCCTCGCTCGTCCGCGTTTAAACTGTTTATACGTCTACGTTTAGGCCCACTACTAAGCGATCCCACGAATCGAACTTACCATTGCTGTACAGTTGACTAAACAAAAGTTCTGGACGGGGTACTATAACTTTAGCTGTAACACTAACGCTAATCCCTGCTTTTTTCTTGTGCTAATCCCTTCCATATCTTTGCTATCTGCCCATCTTTGGTACTCATTATAATGTTTAATTAAATTGAATTGTTTTTGATCTTGTTTTACATTTTTCTCTCCTGTTTACGAACATCACCATTGTCTCTCCATATACAACCCATTTAATTGCTGTGAATTTTTGCCAATGTAAATAATCTTCGCCACTTACACGACACCACTACTACTCTCACACCCAAATCATCTTCAACAACCAAACGAACAACCTGTACAGAGTTGAGTCATCCTCCCCGTCATCGCTAGGGGCGCCGCCACCCGCTAATGTATTTGTACAGCCCACGCCACAAGCTCCATCGCCACAGTTAGAACCCAATCGTAACTACTACAATGCATCCATATTTAATCATGGGGGCGGCTACCAACCACCGCAGCAGCAACAGCAGCAGCAACAACAACAACTACAGCCAACACCATTTCAACAAGCGACACCGCAACAACAACATCAGCTGCAGCCACAAGCCTCACCACATCCCTATGACTCATCCTATTATTCTGTTTACGACGACGATATCGATTTGTATAGGGATATAGAATACCAACAGCAGCAGCAACAGGACCAGCAGCAGCCATCTGTCCCCCAGTACCAACCAACAGTGCGCCAACAGCAGCCGCACTCAACCTACCGCCCCTTAGAGCTCTCGGCTACACCGACACCCCCACAGAAGTCATCTTACAGCAACCAGCAGACTTTGGCCTACTCCTCAGACTACGATGAGGACATTAATGCGCAGGTAACATTTAACCATATATAATGTCATATTGCCGCTTAAATGACCCTTTCATACTAACCAAAAATGTTTGTTACTTTCAAGTTGTTAGCTAAAAATGTAAATTGGACTGTCTTTTCAGATCGAACAGGAAAATTTGTACGATCAGCCCACACGTTCACCACAGAGGTAAGTAATATTAATCACAAAGCTAAACACCGAGTCACTCCTCAAGTTGGAAGCATATCAAAGGAAACCATACCCGAAAACCTCACCCACACAGAAACAGTCAGCCTCGCAGAGCATTTTAGGCCATCTGCACAGAGGAGTCCCTTTTAGATCTCGTCCCACAAAACTAGTTAGATCCCTGCCTAGTGTAAAACTTCACAATCACAAAACAGCCACACACTGCATCAAAATTAAGACAACTGCCAACCCAATACGTATACACCCAACCACAATACATTTATCTATCAGGGCGGAACAGGTGGCCATACAAAGGCTGGATACTCGACCCAGTCCTTCGACAACCCTATCCCCGACGACGCCCGCCACCCGTCCGGATGTTCTCACCTATTATGACACTGTGACCACCCCCAACGCCCCGGAACATGGGCCAGCCGACTACAGCTACTCCAGTTCCGCAGAGTATGCTTTCGGGTCGGCAGAGGACTACGACCTGAGCGAGCGCACACTGACTCGAGCCAAGTCCACTGCACGCACCTACACGGATGACTATGATCTGATCGCCAATGTTGTGGGTCCTACCAGCAAGAGCACAATGGCGCCACCAACACGAACCCAGAACACAAAATCAACTTCGGCACTAAGCAGGAACCCGTCCAAGAGTTCCATCACCAACACAAAAATTCTTGAGGTCACAAAGTCCACAACAACAACAACAACAACTACAACCACGACACCATTCCCATCGACAACAACAACAAAACTAGCAAGGTATTTTCACTAGCCATTGCGCGCTTGAAACAGCGTCTGAAGTAGAGCCTCACTGCCAGCCGCCATCTAAAGCAATTGCAACTCAGTCATTAGCTGGCTTTAATATTATTTGCATAGTTTGTAAGCTCTCATTCTCGCATACCACATGCAGCTTGAAAATTTGGCTCACATTATACAGAACACACAGTTACACTCCACAAGTATAGTTAGGCAGTTTTTTAGACAAGCTAATTGATATCTACAGCGTCACCGCCAACGAACTGTAACTCTGCTGACTGTTTGAACACATATGTATGCTACTTTCTGTCTTTCTGTTTTCCTGAAATGGGATTAAGTACTCATATCCATTGCATGACTACTCATAAGATAACCGTTAGGTGTCCCGAAATATAAGTACGCATGAGCATGTATCTATTCGGAAAATGCAGCTGTCTCAGTTGGCACCCCAATCGAAAAAGATAACTACAAACTAAAAAGAATTTCAAAATCTGAGAACCAAAAGGCTAGGCAAATAGGGTCCTTTATACACATAGCAATAAGTTACTAACTTTAATGAGATTACTTATTCAAATACACGTCTCTTCAACAGCTCGAAAGCGCATGCAATTAAGCCTTATAAACAACATGTTCCCAACAAATCAAAGACAACTACACAAGCTTCCAGTACCCCACCCACCACCACGCCCAGCTCCATACCACCCCCGAATCCCACGACCTATAGTTCAAATCCCTTCCTTAAATCGAAACTTCAAAATCTGGCCAAGTCACTGGTACACTTTGTCTCAAACAGCCAGACCAAAGGCAATAATACTGGCTTTCGTCAAGTTAAAAACCTGACAAGCTTTGATCACCAACCCACAATTCCGGAACCAGTCCCTGACCAAGTTCCCGCCCAAACATTTTCCCCAGTCCCCGAGCCTTCGTCCACGCAATGGCCCCTAGTTGAGGATCACGTTGAGACTGTCTTTGATGAGAGTCAGAACGTTCATGTTCAGACGGCTGAACCGCCAAGGAGTCGCTCTTTCGAAACCAGCACCTCGGCCAAATTCCTGGACTTTATTAATGCCGCCGCTTATGGTACCAGTCCGCGTGGGAACCTCCTGAATGCTGTGCCAAATAAATTTGTGGGAAGGGATTTTCCCTATCGAGAAAGAGATTATTCATTCGAGTCAAGCTCAAAGGAACCAGAACTGCAGCGTAAACGTATTCAGACCTACATCACTTCCGACGTGGCGCCTGAGAGTTTCAAAGTTCCGGCAAATGGTGAAGTGCGACCACAGCCGGAAGGAATGGAAAGCGCAAGTACAACGCGACCCAGTAAGCCAATAAAACACAGCCTTCAAAGTGGATCACATGGTTTTAGTTTGCGTGTGGAACAGAATGAAAGCGAAAGTAATGTGTCTGAGCCAATTTTTGCGGAGAAAAAGAGTCAGCCGTCCACCACAACAGCAAAGAGCCCAACAACACCGGTCGACTCATCTCAGGAATATGTGGACATCATACCCACAACATACGCCCCACCTCTTCGCATTTGGCGTAACGGAAGACCCACCATTCAACAGGCATATTACAGGCCAACCACCACAAGTTCTAGCACAACCACCACTAGTACCACTACAAGCACATCACCTCCTACCACCTCAAATGATAACGTTCATTCGAGCAGTACCATTAGGACTACTACAACACCAAGGGCTCTGGGCCCTCCCAGCACCGAACGCTATGTTGTACCGGGACAAACTTACACGGCCCGAGCCAATTACTTCAAAGATACCCTAAATCGCGTTACTGCTAACCCGGCAACGCGTTTTGTCTCTCCGTACAAAAGTTTAGAGAACTTGCTCCAGGAAGATCGCCAGTACCAGTACCACCAACTGCGGACAACAGCTAGGCCGCGCTACACAAATGCACCTGCTTTCCCGCCCTTCCTCCATACTACTTCAAAGCCGGCAAAAAATCTTTTCATGACCACAGCTATTAGAAACACCAGTCAAGATGTTTTGGCCACAATGGCGACAGGAAACGCACGTAACTTTAGCGTTAGCGACGCAATACTCAGCACATTTAGTCCTCAGCGACCAGCGCCGAGTATGCTGCGAACCACCACTATGGCAACAACAACTTCTACTAGCACTGAACCACTTCCGCCGGAAATGACTACTACTGCTGCTCCTACGACCGTTTCAGCCGTGATCGCTTCTTCGCCCATCCGCGTATCACAGTCCCCAATGCGTCCACGTGGCCGCTCTCGCTATACGGCGGCCACTCTAAACAATGTCGGGGACAGCGTAGACGAGCCCACGACGTATGCACCCAAGTTTAGGTTACCCGCCGGCTTTGAGACCAGCCAGTTTCCGAAACGCAAGCCTCAACGCGTTCGAGTGATTAGTAATCAGCGGACTTCCTTTGGGGAGCCAACAGCTAAGCCGCACGAAAAGTATGAAGCCTACAAAGCTGCTTTGCAGGCCAAGGATTCCGCTTATAGCTCCCACAGTGCTTTGAGCAAGTCCCTAAAACACAAGTCTATCGAGAATGAAGCCAGCGTTGCAGACGAGCCACGGGCCGAGGCTTTGATCAGCCAGCCGTTGGAGGCCAGGCAGCAAAACAGCTTAGAGCAGGGTGGGACTGCGATAGCCTTCAGCTCCACCGAACATGTGGTGGCGATTACAGACCGTCCAACTGTCAAGTTTCTTTACTCTAACAAATACCGCCAGCAAACGGCGGAACGCACTTTGGCAGAGAGTCTTCAGAACGCTGGGTACATAGCATCAGCTAACGGGCCAGCACAGAAGTTCCGATCCGCCAACGTCCTTGATCAGCTGAGGCAGTTCCTTGCTGGCAGTGATAGTACCAGCAACAGCGATGAGAGCGGCACCTCCCAATTTGTTGACGAGTATTCATTGCCCGAGATAAAGGCCGCAGTCGATGAGATCAAGCAACTTTACATGGTCACTGATCGACCTGCAACGAGCACTTTACAAACTAGCACGACTACGCTGCGTCCTACCACTACGCCGATTATCCCGCCATCTGCACTCCGATCCACCACAGCAACCGTTACCTCGTCAGTGCGTCAAGAAGCAAACCAATCCAAAGCATACTCCTTTCCCTCCACTTTAAAAGTCTTAAGCACCGATTCCGCTCTAACTGCAAGAGCCACCCAGAGCACCCCCGACGTTAGTACCACTAGAACGCCGAAAGACCCACCTGTTTACCCGACCCCCGCCCCCAACATTTCCACCGCTACAGCAACACCCTCTCCATTTGCACCGCACACTGCGCGCGCTTCGAGGGTTAACAATGTCATAAAGTCGTCGATTGCTGCCGCTGCCCTAGGCCCTAGCACCTCAACCTATCAGCCACCAGTGTCAGCGGGTAAAGCCCAAAAGCTCCAATTCGGCTTCGCCCCCAACAATAAAAACCACCAAATAAGCAGCAACCATAAAGGCGCAGCAGCTTCAGCCTCTGTGAAGTGCTCCGACAGCACACTAAACGCCAAATGCAACGAGATTCCTTTAAGGTATAGATACCCATTCAGATTGCTTCTAAGTTCAGTCGATCCCAGCCATCACTCTACTCTCCTTATCGCTCTCTTTATTATTCCTCTATTAGAATCACCGTAATTTTGTTCTTGAACACAACCAACCAACTATAGCCCCCCACTCAACACTGTACTGTATTCTACTGTACTGTTCTCAAGCTTTCTCTAGTCTCTCATTACCACCCACATTCACCCACCTCTAATCTACGTATTTATAGACACTTCCATATGGTTGGCGTTGTTTGTTGGCTTCCTAGTGCCCACAGTATTGTATGCTAAAGAACCAATGCCTCTTGAACAATTTTCGATATTACGTTCTTCTATGTCAAAGTTATGTTCAATTTCACTGAATCCTCTCGGTGACATAATACGAAGATACATAAGAACTTACTAAATTGTAGCTGCTGGGTAAAATGTTGCAAAAAATTTGGTATACAAATTGTAGAAGGTTTAATTTTGGCAATTTCGTTAACCGATCACTGGATATCCATGTATAAGTACCGGTGGTGGCCTGTAAAAATAAATTCCCTTAAAATTGTCTTCATTACCAATTATAGTTATTGTACTGTCAAATCAATTGGCTGAAAATCCGAAATGGTATAATATTACGCAGATGTGAGAACTAAGAAGTTAAAGATATTAAACAGATAGGTTAAACCATTTTAATTTAAAAATCGTGCACCAAAATAATTAAAAGCAAAGAAAACTTTAAAAACTAAACAAACACAATGTAAACAAAAAATTTTTCGCACATTTTACCAAGCATAAATTTAGTAAATGCTGTGTTTTTCCCTGACAGCAAGAAATTAGTTAAGCCTCAATGTAGTTAAAGCCTTTAGTAGTAAAAAGTAAGGGAAACATAGGTTCGTACTGTTGAGTTTTCGGACTTCTCTTATTTGAATCATGACTTCATAAAAGTATGTGCACTTTATATTGTGCATTTTCTCCCACTTCTGCGGCCCTTACCTAAATTAAACATATTTGTCTATTCTCAGCCTTTTCTTACCTTCAAAACCCAACACGTGACACATAAGTATGCATTACAACTTTTTGGTTCTCGCTTAAAAATATTTACAAAAAATTGGACGGTAAAATTATGTCTGCTCCATCGGTGGAGGTATGTTTGGTTTAAGATATGATAATGGGAATATCTCGTAATGGGCATTAACCAATATCACTCAATGTGTATAGAACAACTAATCTTGCATTCATATGTATCCCTCGTATATTTGTGTAGCACTGAAATTGTATTGGAATAGGGCAGCTCGATTCTTCTTATGCCATATTTTGCTAAAGCAATATTTCACAAATTCCATTTAGAAACAACAATAGAAACCGGGGAAATGCGATGTACGCCAATCAGGATCGAGACGTACTTTCTACGCCGAATCGTGGAACTCACCCACCGTAAGCAAATATAATTTAACATATGCTAAGTTCCGTTGTGAGTTTAAATCGTTTTAATTTTGTAAAGACGAACACGACCCACACTCAAGCCATCGGGCACGATCGTGTCAAAGGCCCAAGAGTTTGTCGATATATACCGGTACCCACCGACTCGCCCCGACCCAATATACCCACAGCCCACGCCCGATAAAACGGCAGCCAAGTGCCGGAAGGACGTATGCCTGTTACCAGATTGTTATTGCGGAGGCAAGGATATACCTGGTAAGTGCAGGTATAATTAAGTAGATCCCGACTATGTATAATGCAGGAAACTTTGATCGACAAATGCGCATAAAATAAAATAATAACTTTAACGTTAACAAATGTGTAGGCGGCTTGAGCGCCTCGGAGACCCCGCAAATTGTACTTATGACGTTTGACGATGCCGTCAGTACAATAAATATTGATCTTTACGAGGAACTCTTTAGTAATGAGTCGCGAAAAAATCCCAATGGTTGTCCATTGCGCGGAACCTTCTATCTATCGCACGAGTGGACGGACTACGGAATGGTACAAGATCTGTATTCACAAGGACATGAAATGGCATCTCACACCGTTTCGTAAGTTGACGACAAGGTCACATTCTCCCAAAGCGCTCCTCGTTCATTGTTTGCATCGGTTTCTTGCTCGCTTTTATTTAAAATGGTTACACTTTCTAAGCCCCTCAACTTTTTCCTCTACATATATTCATCCACATTCCATCCGCATTGCTAGGCGATCTACCCGTTGAAAGCATACCTCAGATCGTTCTATTGACTTTTGATGATTCGGTGAATGACCTAAACAAGCAGTTGTACACGGACCTCTTCGAAAAAGGTCGCGTCAATCCCAACGGCTGCCCAATAACAGCCACTTTTTACGTCTCCCACGAATGGACTGACTACAGTCAGGTTCAGAATCTTTACGCCGATGGACATGAAATGGCCTCGCATACAGTTTCGTAAGTAGATGAAGCTCGATTATTGAACCCGACACAGATATACACAGCGATGAAAACAAATAGAAGCAGCACAGATTCACAGTAGTTATGTTGTTAGTAAAATCAATCACAATGCACCGATATACCAACTCAAAACTTTTAAAAACTCCACCGCTGTACTAACAAAGAAATACCCTCATCTGTATGTAATAATCACAAACTCATTAATCTACAGCCACAGCTTTGGCGAGCAGTTCTCGCAGAAAAAATGGACTCGTGAAATTGCCGGGCAGCGGGAGATCCTTGCTGCTTACGGCGGTGTCAAGCTATCTGATGTACGAGGCATGCGCGCACCTTTCCTCTCGGTCGGCGGTAACAAAATGTACAAAATGCTATACGACTCAAACTTCACCTACGACTCCTCCATGCCTGTCTACGAGAACCGACCACCTTCCTGGCCCTACACCCTGGATTACAAGATATTCCACGACTGTATGATTCCGCCCTGCCCAACCCGCTCTTACCCCGGGGTATGGCAAGTACCTATGGTCATGTGGCAGGATCTAAACGGAGGCCGCTGCTCGATGGGCGATGCATGTTCGAACCCGAGCGATGCAGATGGAGTAACCAAGATGATTATGAAAAATTTTGAACGTCATTACACCACGAACAGGTACATTCCAAAAAAGAAAAATATTTATCTTTACAAATTAAACAATTAAACGCAAATTCGTATACCCGCTACCAGTAGCGTAAGAGAGTATGTGTATTCGTTGAAAAGTATGTAACTCTCCAAGCAGCAGCGCATTATTTTCGCTTAAGCTCTAAGAATATTTATATTTTCAGAGCACCTTTCGGTCTGTTTTATCACGCTGCGTGGTTTACCCAGCCCCATCACAAGGAAGGATTCATTAAATTCCTGGACGCCATCAATGCCATGCAGGACGTGTGGATTATAACCAACTGGCAGGCGCTGCAATGGGTCAGAGACCCCACACCAACATCTCGCATTAATTCATTCCAGCCGTTCCAGTGCGACTATTCGGTAAGTATACACAGTGTTTGAACTTAATTCAGATAATTATTTAACATCGACTTGCAACTAGGATCGGCCCAAACGCTGCAACAATCCGAAAGTATGTAACCTGTGGCACAAGTCTGGCGTCCGATACATGAAAACATGTCAGCCATGCCCTGACATTTACCCCTGGACTGGAAAATCCGGAATTCGATCTTCCCGCATCGATAATGAAGTTGAAGAACCGGCGGCGTAAGACTCAGGATCGCCAGTCTCGCATGGACCTTTTGGGGATTAAGATCATAGGCTAGCAGTAGGCAAAAAGAGACACTCAACAATCTAAGATGCCGAAATGTTTAAGCCACTATTCATTCGAGCTCAAAATACGAAATTCACTCGTAATACGTTTTCATTTAATTAATACTTTTAGCTAATTTTTTAAACGACCATAGGCAATTTTTCGGAGCATGTTACTACAAATTATTTATTCCCTCTTACATACTTAATACCTGTCTGTATATTCCTATAGATTTTTACGTGTACGGTTATTCTTAAAGTTGCACACGCAATCGAAGCCGGATCCCTGTAAACGTAAATCAATTAGGTATAGGACCGTAGACTTATAAGTACTAATAAACTGCGTGTTTGGTGCACCAAGAACTTCGATGAAATAATAGAATACTCAGTAGGATTTGGATGCACCAAGTCCATGGTTTCAACTACGGAAACCGCATTTAAAGATTAAGCTAATACACTTTTTCGTTTAATGTGTGATAAAGAGTTACAGCTAACTTTATGTATTATTAGATGTGCACAAGTCTTTATTCACGCCTTCCCTTTTTCCATTTTTTTTTTTGCTTATCCTGCAATTAAAAAGTTGTCAAACGCAAGTTTGTATTGGTATTGAGTGCATTGAAATAGATAAGTTCTTATATCCATAAACTTATCTTATGCTATTAAAAATGAATCACATACTTTTTACATTATTTTATTTGACCATACAACGCCACCAACAAAGTGTCAGTTTAATAAAACTATTTTTGAAGTTTATGAGTCGGTACGCATAATTGATACCCATCGGCAGTCAATGAGTGAATTAACAGAAGGATTAAGATCAAGAACTAGAAAATAAGTCGAAGCGATTGCCAATATTTGCCGTTCATCAAAAAAATTTACCACATTGAATTCAGTTTAAATAAACGACGTGCAAGCCTGTCAACTGTAGTTTACCATGTAAGGTATAAATAAAGTATTAAGGGATTCAACATGCAATAATTAGAGATGATAATCAAATAGGTCAAGTTGCATATATTTTAAGGGCGTATACAAATAGTGAGGTAAAATATTTAAAACAGGGCGCATTATAAAGCAATGTTCGGAGAAACGAGTGAATTAAGTATTTTGTGCTAATGTTTGTAAAAAACGATATACCTATGTGTGTATGAATGTACTCACGTATGCTTGCAATAAAATGTAATATTTAAATTGTAATCACTTTTTATAATCAGAGTGACAAATTGTAAGTATACCAATACAATTTTCAGATAGGCCACACGAAACATTCGCTGCAGGTGTTACAAATAACACAGTCGTGCTTAGAGCACTATTGAGCACTATATAATTTGGTGAGGTGATGAACCCTAGCGTGCAAGCCGTCGAGTTCTAAAATGGTATAAAAAGAGCCATAGCTTCACAACTGCAAACACATCAAACTCAAGACTTGTACTCGTTATGTCGAGGACTTGGATAATTTGGGTCTTGTTGACGACCCAATGGATTGCTAGTGGAGGGGCCTACGAATCTGATTATCAAGAAAAGTGTATTAGCAGACGGCTCATGAACCGATATCAGTTGAACGATGAAATATACGGACGAAGAAGCTGCGATCTTAAAAATCAAAATCGTCAAAAACGACGTGTTGACCCCACATTTCATGGAAACCCAAAGCCACGAAGAGAGCTTTTGGCCAGTAAGTTCCATGTAAATTCGTACAACTTCGATCAGACTAACTCATTAGTGGGGCTGGTTAACAAAATTGCTCAAGAGTATCTAAATAAATGTCCACCGGTCATATATTACGATAGTTTTGTGGAAAAATCCGATGGACTGATTCTCGAGAATTTGTTTAAGGTAAGTTCAATAAATCAAATCCATTCACTGATAAGCTTTAACATTTAAAACATGTCAACAAGTAGACTGCATTTTGAATCCTGTCAGATCAGATTAAAGGCTTCATAACAATCTCATTCTTTTGTAGACTATCCCTATTACTTTCTACCATGGCGAAATTAACGCAGGCTACGAAGCGAAAAATGCTCGTTTTACAAGCCACATCGATAGCAATTGCAAAAGTTACATTTTGTTTCTTTCGGACCCACTTATGACGCGGAAGATTCTAGGTGCCCAAACGGAAAGTCGTGTGGTGCTTGTCTCAAGGTCGACACAATGGAGGCTTCGTGATTTTCTGTCATCAGAACTATCCTCAAATATAGTAAATTTACTAGTAATTGGAGAATCACTGATGGCTGATCCAATGCGCGTGAGTATAAATAAATATTAAATTTATGTATGATATTGGACTAACCTTAATGACAGGAGCGCCCTTACGTTTTGTACACCCACAAACTTTACGCAGATGGTCTTGGCTCAAATACTCCCGTGGTTCTTACCAGCTGGATAAAGGGAGCTCTGTCGCGACCGCACATAAATCTTTTTCCACCGAAGTTCCAATTTGGCTTTGCCGGCCACAGGTTTCAAATTTCGGCCGCTAATCAGCCGCCTTTCATCTTTCGCATCCGCACTTTAGATTCCTCAGGAATGGGCCAGTTACGCTGGGACGGAGTAGAATTTCGACTGCTGAGCATGATATCAAAACGTTTGAACTTTTCAGTAGATATCACTGAGACACCAACAGGGGCCTTTTCGCGGGGAGTAGTGAACGCCATCCAGGAACAGATTGTTGAGAGGGCAGTAGACATTGGGATGTCCGGTATCTACATAACTGAGGAGAGACTCCGGGATTCCGACATGTCGGTAGGACACTCACGCGATTGTGCAGCCTTTATAACACTCGCCTCAAAGGCACTGCCCAAATACAGAGCCATCATGGGCCCGTTCCAGTGGCCAGTCTGGGTCGCTCTAATTTGTGTGTATCTTGGAGGAATATTTCCAATCGTCTTCACCAACCGTTTGACACTTAGCCATTTAATGGGTAACTGGGGTGAGGTAGAAAACATGTTTTGGTATGTGTTTGGCATGTTCACAAACGCTTTCACATTCACTGGAAAATACTCGTGGAGCAACACCCAGAAAAACTCCACACGTATCCTGATTGGAGCCTATTGGCTTTTTACAATTATCATTACGTCCTGCTATACTGGTTCCATCATTGCATTCGTAACGTTGCCAGCGTTTCCCGACACCGTTGACTCTGTACTGGACCTACTGGGCTTGTTTTTTCGCGTGGGAACCCTGGGTGAGAAAACGTCAAGACGGATTATTGTCTTTAATTACATTTGGTGTACTTACGAAAAGATAATGGCGGCTGGGAGACCTGGTTCCAAAACTCCACCCATATTCCTACGTCTAGGCTGTACAAGAAAATGGAGTTTGTCGGTACCCTAGAGGAGGGCATCGGCAACGTTACTCAGAGCTTCTTTTGGAACTACGCCTTTTTGGGATCTAAGTCTCAACTTGAATACCTGGTGCAGTCAAATTTTTCAGATGAGTAAGAGCGATTAAATTTTTTTTTTTCTGCTAACCAACAAATACGATTTTACAGAAATATATCGCGCCGATCGGCGCTCCATTTGAGTGAGGAGTGCTTTGCTCTCTTCCAAATAGGCTTTCTCTTTCCGCGAGAGTCCGTGTATAAGCGCAAGATCGACTCGATGATCCTGCTGGCCCAGCAAAGCGGTCTCATTGCCAAAATCAATAACGAGGTAAGCTGGGTTATGCAGCGCTCGTCGTCAGGCCGCCTGTTGCAAGCCAGTTCATCAAATTCCCTGCGCGAAATAATCCAGGAGGAGCGCCAACTGACCACGGCGGACACAGAGGGCATGTTTCTCCTGATGGCGCTTGGATACTTCCTAGGTGCGTCGGCCCTGGTCTCAGAAATCGTGGGTGGCATAACAAACAAGTGTCGTCAAATAATAAAGCGATCTCGCAAGTCGGCCTCCAGCTCTTGGTCCTCCCGCCACAGCTCGGCGACATGTGGGGCGGAAAAACGCACGGAGGCCGAGCAATTGGCGCACGATGAACGAAAAGCCACCAGGCGCGACGCCGCTGAGGATTGTCAGAAGATGAGTTTCGGAATGCGAGAGTTTAATCTTACCCGCACAACCCTGCGCGAGCTGTACGGAAGCTATGGTAGACCAGATCAGAGCAATGGGCAGCGAACCGTAGACAACCCGACATTGCCTTCCAGCCCCGAAAACTTAATTTACTTGGAAGACGAAGAATCCCGCGAAGCTATCGCATCTCTGGAGCGTTTAGACAACTTCATGACCCAGATGGTTGGCGAAACTGATCCTCAGCCACATGAATTCAGACCCGACGAATTATTTGGACCCAATCCAGAACATGGGGAAGTGCCTGAAAATCGATAAGCACTCAAATAAAAAAATGTTTAAATTTTTACACACACATTAGTTTAACTTACACCTTACACACTTACAGTCATAAGATTTCGGTACAAAGCAATTATGTATATTAAAAAGGGTATATGTATATGAATAATTATACGGGCAAATTACTTATTAATATAGGCTAGGTAAATGGTAAATCGAAACAATACTAAATTTAAAATATATGTACATATATGTATATGGGAAGTGTACAATATTTTCCCGTTATGGACAACGATAAACAGAGTCGAATGAATAACGGGGAAAGGAGCCAAGTTATACATACATACATATGTATGTAGTCTTAGATGCGCGGAGAAAATCGTTTGTCCATTGTTTTTGTAATAATTCTACATTTTCAAATAATTTTATGGAGACAAAATGGAGTATTTTGATTACCTTGAATGGCGCGCCGAAAGGTTGGAGTTACCGTTGGTTCTCTGTAGCAGCTTATAAGTATTCTATTTGAGCAGGACGTCAAACTTAAATATATTGCAGACTTTCTGGATGTAAAACAATCGACTCGGGACTGTTTTATCCATGTCCAGTTTTATCTAACTTTAACAAATGTTCATTAAACAACAATACGCGTCAGTCGCGTCCTTTTTCTTTGGTCGATAAATGTTGAATATCGTTGTGCTTTTTAATTCATATAGGGTATTCCATTCCATGATCGATAAATGTTTAATATCGTTGTGCTTTTAAATTCATATGGGGTGTTTCATTCCATGATCGCTAAATGTTGAATATCGCTGTGTTTTTTAATTCATATGGGGTATTCCATTCTATGAAGAAACTGAAGTAAAAATACTTAATACTTCTGCGTATATATGTAAGTTCATAAAACAAAAATTAAAAGAAAAATAAGTTCTATCCGGAATTTATCAGGTCATAGATAATTTTTAAAAGCAACTTGTAAAAATTTTTTTCTACTTTTTGCCAACTTAATTATTAACACTTATTCAACATCTTTCTTCGAACTTCAGGGTTGTAAATTCAAGTCGCATTTTGGAAAGTAAATCCAAATAACACTTAAAATATTTATGTATAACAATGTTTCTTATGAAATTTCTCCAAAAATTTAAAGATGGCGCTCCAGCTGTAAAAATGTCGTTAAATATCCCTATACACATTATTTCTTAATTTACATTTATTTTACCGAGCCGAAGGTCTCAGTCACATGCACTCGAATATACATATATAAAAATGACTTTTAGACTAAAATTAAAAAAAAAATTGTAAAGATCACATTTAGCATGTAGAGAATAGTATCGATTTAACATACGGACATGGCTAGATCGACTCTGCTGGTGATCCTTATCAAGAATATATATACCTTTAGGGTCAGAAATGCTGCCATCCACCTATTACACAGTTACCTATATCCGATATCCTTTTAGTCCACGATTAATTGATAAAAATTTACTTTGACAAAATGATAGCATGTTCTAAGTAGAAAAATGATACGAGGAAGCAACCGAAAAGTTAATTTACTTTGCTTTAAAAACAGGCTCTCTGTAGCACTAAGATTAAAAAGTTGAGTTCTTTTTCGCGCGTGCAACTTCGAAAATCGTGGCAAAAATACTAAAACATCGATAGAAAAGGTAGGTGTACTCGCTAACTACCTAAGCGCTTCCAGCGATTAATATCGCCAAATAAAACCATCGATGCGCGACGCTACACTTTTCACATCACTAACCACCGATCGCGACTTTGTTGTGTTATGTTAAAAATGACGCGCATTTTGCGCTGAAAATTGTTCCAGTCTAATTAATAAGTGCCTAGCTCCGCGCTCGATACAAACTCTGTGTTCTCTTTTATCAATGTTCGTCGTACTTGCTTAACTTTTGAAGCGACGGGGAGTGTGATTAGTGCGGCGTCCCTCAAAGTACATATACATATATATGTGGGTGTGTCAGACAAGACAGTTCCAGCACTTACTCGGAAGCCACCGCCTTAACTTAAGGAAAGATAAATAGGTAAGTGTCCAAACACTGCTTTTGGCTAAAAATGTTCATTATTGTCAACTTATCGAAGTGCACACACAAGTATGGGTTTCTTGGCGTACAGGCGTAGGCGGTGAGTCAGCCACGCAAACAGTCTGCAGTCGTCATTTTATAAACACGCACATTTTGGGTGTGTGTGTGTGTATCTGATGAACGGCTGCCGGCGTTAAATTGCAACGCTGGTCAACTACTTCGATCGGGAATGTGCCTGAAATTAGGTCATCACCTTGCGCCATAAAAAATTTGGCTCCACCTAACTTGTGTTGGTTATCAGTTAAAACTATCGCGACAGAAATGGTAAATCGCTGATATGCCGTTTATTATTCAGGTGCCTTTTTCTTTGCTTACTCACGAATACATACGGTATATGAATTTCATGTGCAACGCAGCATAGCGAGTTCATTAACATGAAATATGTACATACATACATACACATTAGCAAGAGCGGGGATCGAGCGGGCACATCTATCTTGCATCTCACTTTTCTGAGTATATTGCTGAATAGAAAATAAATCAAATTTTGGTTATTACTGTACGCCTAAATGGAGTTTCGCCTCTGTATCTAGTTACCTGAAAATTTACATGCGTATGTACATACAAAGCTGTTCAACGTTTCAGCCGCCTACAAACGATTTCTTGACGTTCGGTGAAAATAACCACACAACTTGTTTGGCAAGTCTTGCAAGCCAAGTTCTAGCTGACTCGTTTGGATTTTCCTGGTAGAAAATAGTTTATTTTTCAAAACACACTGGATTATCGTTCCTAGCAATACTTAAATGAAACCAAAAAATAATATTGGTTTGTAAGTAATCAAATTCACTGGGATTTATCCAAAGTCGAAATCAATTGCTGACTGATAAAATATCCGGAATTTATATATCAAAACCATTCTCTTGTATCTTATTTTCAGTTTTATTTAAACAAAGCCGCGATTAAGTGTACACCCTTTCTACAAATCCAGCCCACCATAGAAGTCTTGTAAACTATGTTGAAGTTTATCCGAGGAAAGGGTCAGCAGCCCAGTGTGGAAAGACAACGCCTACAGAAGGACCTCTTTG